GTCTGAAACTCTGCCGCGGCTTGTTAGGAAATTGGAGGGGGGGGGGGGGGTGAAAGTGTAGGCACCCTAAATGTCACACTCATTTCACAGTGTGACATGGTGCCTCTACTTCTATACAGTCTATGTTCTTCAGTGTGGTTGGTTGCAGACTCCTCCCAAAGCCACCTGGGCCACAGAAAGCTGCAAAGAGCTTGCGCAATCGCACACGTTTTTTTTCTTTTCTTTTTTTTTTTTTTTTAAAGTAGGAGAAGTTATTCATTCATCCACAATGGATGAACAAGTAATTCCTTTCTATCTCCATTTCCAAGTCTGAAATTGTCACCCGGCTCAGTGTGATAAGTTTGTCAAACGGACAAGCCGGTCACTTAATCTCCATCATGGCTAGCATCCGCCATGTAAAGTGTGATAGGCTACTTCCTTTCTTTCCTCCAATTCACCCCTTCACTTGCACTTATTTTTCCTACGGGCAAGGATGTCATGCGAAAAAGGTATAAAAATAGGCTACGCGCCACACAACTTTTGACACAAGGCTGAGTCATTTGCTAGCACTGTCTTCCTGTTGGAGAAGTGTTAAAACTGCCTGATGTAAGCATTGCACTTATTACGTGCACAAGTGCCGCTCACATTAAAGACATGGATTGGTTATTTTTGATGAAAAAGATCACAGTAACCTAATGAGCTGCCCTCCATATGGTAAGGACCTGTTTCAGTCAAGAAAATGTCTAATCAGCCAATTAGTCACGTGGCAGAAACTCAATGTGTTGAGGCACTCGGACAATAAGGGTGGTACAGCTCTCCGGATCCACAATGAGATTGATTTCTTGTCCAACCCGCCTTTTTTTAAATGTTTTTTTTTTTTTTTAAGAGAATTTCACAAAATCGTTTGAGTGGAGACATTGTTTTAGATTGTCTTTCCGCTAAGATGCACTGAGATGCACAGGCAGAACACAACATACAAGCCAACGGTACCAAGCACTGAATTCACCCTACTTATTAGTAGTTTGTAATAGTTTTTGCCTCTCAATGTTTGTTCGACTTTCCACTGATCCTAAT